CTTCTATTCCCCTGCACCTATCCTACGGCCGCGGCAACATTCGCAGCCATCTTTTTTTTTTTTTTCCTCCCCCGTTCCTTACTTTTCTTTCTTTCTTTTTCTTTTTCTCTTTCTTTTAATCCCTGGTTTTTACTGCTGAGGGCAGCCCGTCGTTTAAATTGAACGGGCACACTCCCCCTTCAGTCATTTCACAGAGTTGCACTAGAGTCCAGCTCAACAGGGGCTTCTTCCCTCTTTCAGTCGTGCGCCTGTATCTGGCACGCAAATCACGCCTGATCCAGGCGCAGCAGCTGCCCACCAGATTACACTTCAGCCCGTTTTCGAACGGGCGCAGTCTTGGTGGGGGAACCCAAAGACGCTGGACCTCTCTCTCTCTCTCTCTCTCTCTCTCTCTCTCTCTCTCTCTCTCTCTATCAATCTCTCTTTCTCTCTTTCTAAAACCCGACGGTCGTGACCGTTTGTCGCAAACTGGAAACCACCCAAAGCGTGTGCAGAGAGTCCCTCGTAACTCAAGTACAAGGTCCAAAAACCCATGCCCAGAACATAGCCACTTTTTGTGGCAGATTCATCCAGTTTTGCTCATCCTATGCAAAAATGGTTGCCCGTTCGCCAACAACGAACGGGCACTTTACTAATTTTACTAATAAAAAGAAAAAGAAATCAATAGAATCTTGAAAAAATCTAAATCAAATCTAGAAAGAATCTAAAAAGAATCTAAAAGGGAAAAAGGGCAAAAAAAAAAATGAAAACTTACCTTTAAAACGAAGAGACTGCCCGTGAAAACGGGTGTCTGAAACAACCTTTGGGAACCTTAGGTCCCCTCAGTCTATGTATCCCCTTGGCCGCGGCCGAGTTCGGGCATGGCCGCGACTGCCGGCCGTGGCCGGGACCCCTCCAGTCATATGGCTACTCCGGTCACGAACTTTCGGTGGAGGCCCCGACCGATCAGGGAGGGGGTTTGGGGGGCGGGGAGCGGGTTTCGAGTCGGCGGGGGCTCCCCTACCCCCTCGCAAAAAAAAAAAAACATAAAAACTTCAAAAACGAGGGGGCGGAATCTAGGGATTTTTCTAGGGGGGG